GATTGTTGAACACCAAACAGAGCACTGTTCGCTAAAACAAATGACGATTGGTTTAAGAGAAAATGCAGAAATAAAGTGTTCCGGATAGTCAGCGAGATAGCACATTGTTTTGATAGATAATTTTTATATGTTCAAATCAAACAATACTTTTTGGTGATTATAACTGATATAACACACAACGCAACGGTATTATTATGTAGGTACCTATCTTTATTTGGTCGTGTAACAAAATTATTATTTCAAAAATATATTATCATCCTTTAAACGACTCAGAAAAATCAATAACTTTTTGTTTGAAATATTTTTTATTTAAACTGTTTATACTTATTTGAAATTGGTAAGACGGTACAGTTTGTTTTAAGAGTTTTTTTTCTGGTTTCTTAAGGTAATGGATATTTTCTAAAAATCGTATCAACTGATGTGCGATTGAGATTTAGTAGAGTTCAATTGGTCAGCACCAATCAACAGCATCATTCACACACATCTAACCGGTCATGTATCTGTCATTAGATTAAACTTTTCTTAGACTTTAAGCGGGTAACTATATGCAAAGGCTCGCACCTATGTAACTTAATTATATAACTGCCTTTGATTCATTGTCAAAGTTGTCAAATAATTGTATTACTTATACACAGTTAGAGTAACCAAGAAAATATTTTTTAACACAGTAGACGCCATTTGTTGATGGACAGTTCTAAGTAAATACCATTTTGGAAGAAATGAGTTTTGGTGTTTTTTTTTTTAAATTTGATCAAACTGAGCTATCGTTTACAGAACCTTTTCAGCAAATGCTAACCAAAAATAATTATAAGTAGGTGCCGTTTAGGTGTCACTCGCTTAATTCTGTTTTAATCAATTGATTCTTATAATTATTTCATCCTTATCAGGCTGTATAAAGTAAGGCGTTTTTAAAACTTAATTGCCACGCATTTCGTTTGAAATTTAATTTTCAAAACATTTACTAGTAGTTTTTTTTTACACAAACTAAACATCAGCTGTAAAGGCTAAAATTTTATTTTATTTTTTTACTGCCCCGCCTAAAAACAAATTTATTCTACCTAAAACACACTAAAATAATTTTGCTTATCTTTTTACATAAGAACCGTTTCCCAAATAAGATATCATATTTAGCAAGCATAAACCAATTTATTTATTGCATTTTCAGTAAGACATTACAACATATGTTATAATTAAACACATTCTTAAGTGTGTTGTGGTTAGAGAATTGGAGACGAGTGAGTTGTGAGACACAGTATGACTGATCGTCAGACTATTATATGGGATAAGTAGGGCAGTTTGATGAAGGAGAATTATTGCGGTAATAAAGCCACAGTGTCCATAACGAACTTTGCCAATGAAATGAACAGTATCGGATGGTGAAATTCAACAGACAAACTTGGGTAATAGTAGAACAGTGTTTAATCAGATTTCGTTTACAGGACAACAGTACAACTATATATATATATATTGTATTACAAGTAATCAGTATGTTAGTCAGTCGAGACAACTATAAAGTTTCTAACAAGAGCAAGCACAAGGCGGGGGACAGGGTACCGAGGCGAGTACGGGCGGTAACGGTGGGCACGGCGGAGGGCAAGGATGGCGAGGTTGCGGACAAGGCGGTGCCTGTAGAGTGAACAGCTTGGGCGGAGGAGGCGGAGATTGCAAAACTATGTCGGGAAAGCTGCACAGCGATCCAGGGTTGTAGAATATTTCGGGCAGCGGTGCGGGTGGCAGCACTATAGGAGGTCCGGCCGGTTGTTGGGGCGGCAGTTCCAAGATGACATTCGAGGGCGGCGGAGCCGGTGCACACGTGATGGTGGGCTCTTTGGTTTTACTGTTGTCGTTGATGATTATCGGTCCGGCACAGGTGTTGCCGACGACTTTCGGGGGCTGAGCAGGAGCTTGGCAGAGTTTCAGCAGCAAATTCGGCGACGCACCGGCCGGCAAGACCACCGGCGGTTTCCGCAGGGCCACCTTGGGCAATTGGACCACTATTGGCGGCGTGCTGGGCCCGGCCACGATGGTCGGCGCCGGTGCCGGCGGTAGTGACACGTGGGCTTGGACCGGCGGACCCGCGCCCGGACAGGGAACTCCTTTAGCGGTCAAGAGCGCGGCTAAAAAAGCCAGCAGCGCGTTGACCGGCACGACGGTCGACAGCGAGGGCAACGAGGCCTGGACGGCTTTGACCAGACCCAGCAGCGTGGCGACCGGCGTGGCTTTCAGCACGGCCGGGTTCGAAGCCAAGAGAGCCAGCAACTCGACGACCGCCTTGGGCGGTACGCCGGACAACGCGGCAGGGTTGCACGCGATATAGTTCAACAGGTCGAGCAGTTGTGGCAACGTGAGCTTGGCAATAGCGCAAGGCGTACCGAGCAGGGCGATAACAGGATTCACGGGTGGCGGCCCGACAGGCGGTGGCGGCCCGACAGGCGGTGGCAGACAGGCGCACTGGGCATCGGATCCCTGCGGGCAAACAAATCAACAGGTTATTCATGTTGGTATCATTTATCGATTGTGGTTAAAACGTATTTCGTTACGCAACGCTATCTGTCGGCAAAAAAAACCGAACTAACGATTTTAAACATAAACAAACGTCAATGGGGCTCGTCGTTGGCTAATTTTGACCCAAAAGGATTTAAGTATTGTCACTACATTATTATTCTCACCTGAAATTTGATAACGCAAACGACTAAAATCGCCATGAACGTTGACCGCCTCATTTTTGGTTTGTTTCAGATCGCCGCCTAAACTGGACTGTGCTTCTGTTGTGGAAAGGTCGTCCTTTTATACGACTTTGGTTTTTTTTTTGGTCTGTTTGTTTGTTTATTATAGTAAAGCATTCGATACGCGATTCGGTGTGTTTGTTTGGGCGTTCGACAATATCTCAATGGATAATCTTTATTTCAACAATCGAATATAACGTGCGTTGATTGCGTGCGGTACGGTTCGATGCACCGTTTATTTGGTGTATTATTATCTGTTTGTTGTTTAAACAACAACCGGCGAAGGATGTTTCACAAAAAGGCGCCTTGGATCATGTGACAAAATGCTTTTTGTATGTCTAATACCAATCATGTGTGGCACAATAATTGTACGGCACAATTGTGTTTAATAATCAAAACTCGAGAAGTGAATTTTTTCAATTTTTCAACGCTGTTTTTTAGTTTTTAATGAACGTCTAATGATAATATCAAAACCGATAGGAAAACATCACATAAGTGAATGTACCACATGCATATATAAATACACCACATATAAACATAATAATATAATATACATATTTGTACATATTAATCTTTGAAAAATAGTTACCGAAATAATGTCGACAAGTTTTTTTTGCTTTAATGCGTATACCATCAATCATGTATTTAGATCAAGAAAAATTATAGTCTTAAAATACTTGAAGTGTTCGTTTACAGTCTTCGTGGGTTCCTTTTGGACAACCAGGGAATTGAACGTCTAATGATAATATCAAAACCGATAGGAAAACATCACATAAGTGAATGTACCACATGCACTTGACCAACGAGCCACGTGTACTTGACCCATTATGTTGGTAGTTTTCACTAAAACTGACACACTGCAGTTTATATTTCACGACACATAATAAACACACAAGACAAACGCTACTCATGCTCATAAATCTCAAGAAACGAACGTTAAACGAATTTTAAACTGGTCACCACCTTGTTTATGTAGAAGTAATCCATCATAAATTATTTTCATCGTCATCATCGCTACAGACTAAACGCTTTGACCGTTCTTCGAGAGATATAATATATATTTGGGCCAATCCGTTTAGCCTTTTAAGTACTTTTCGAAAACAACTATTCAAAAATTAGTCAGTTTTGAGTGTCACCAGAACAACAGTTGAAAAATAATACAAATAATTAAAAGAAAAAACGCTTTAATGAATAACGTTGCACAAACAATGCACATTGATTGTTAAAAAATTTGTCAAAAATTATTATCAATTATTATTGAACTTTTTTAAGAGAAACGATTCAACAAACATTTTCCAGAATATTTTAAAAATATAATTCGCCAAATAATTTATATAATATACATATTCGTACATATTAATCTTCGAAAAATAGCTACCAAAATAATGTCAACAGGTTTTTTTGCTTTAATGCATACACCATCGATTATGTATTTAGATCAAGTGTTCGTTTACAGTCTTCGTGGGTTCCTTTTGGACAACCGGAACATTGTTTACAAAAAAAAAAAAATCCATTACCTCTTCATAACTTACAGTAAAGCCCAATATGTTATGATAACACAACCCTGCTAGTATTGCAATCTGATAAACTATACCGATTTTGAGGTAAACGGTATTTTATAGTAGACATTATTAATACTACATACATAGATAGGAATCGATACAACACATAAACTTGTTTATATTGGATTCAACATAAAAAAAAAAAGATTAATCATACCTTGTTAATGTAACCTGATGTTTTTTTTTTTACATTTGACATATTATTTCAACAGAAAAAACCTATTAATCATTAAAATAATTGATATAATATGTAATCTACGTTTTGTCCATTTCTGGTGGCCACGTTTTACACCAGTAATTTTGTGTTATATAATATACTAGTACCTAAGCTAATATATTATGTACTTACAGAGTTTTTGGTCAATTTTATCTTGACAATAATGTCTTAAGAAATGGAACCTGCTTTCGATAGAGTCTATCAAAACAGGTTGAAGGCCAAAAGGATCAAACTATACCGACAACAAACGCAAGGCATTTGATATGTATAATAATAATTAGTGATAAAATTACTTTCAAAAACATGATAAGTAATCACTATTTCTACGGGCATCGCGTTATAAATAATATATTTTTACTAGTTTTCCAGTTAAATGTAAACTAATTATACTAAAACGGTTTTTTTTAGCTAAAAAAACAGATTTTTTTAGTCCAAAAACCAAAAAAATAATAACTTTTGTTGTTTTTTTTCATCCAAGCTAATAAATTGGCAGTATATTATATGAGATTGGCGAAAGTGATTTATTATATGATCATATGCGCCAAATAATAACTTAAAAGTACAAATAAAACATTAACAAAAAATAAAATTACAATAAAAACAGTTAGCGATAGTTAGCGACAACACTAGGAACGAACACGGTCAACAACAGTTCTTGGTAAGTGGCGGCAGCGACGACGACGGCGACGGCGGCGACGACGCACACTGTGGCGGTTGTACGCCGGGCGGTAACGTGGTCAAGAACACTTTGGGCGTGTTCGGGCCGGACTGGAAATAGTACTGCGGGTACCGTTGTCCCGTGGCCGGGTTGTAGTAGGCCTGCGAGCACGACTTGGCCGGGTACGTGGTGAAGTATATGGACGGCGGTTCGGGTGCCGGCACGACGATGGGTTGCGGGGCGTAGCCGCCGGGGTGGTCGTTGATCACTATGGGGCCGGGCCCGTTCTGGGGCATGATCAGCGGCGGCGGCGCGGGACTGAGCTCGGGGATGGACACCACAATGGACGGCGCGGGGCCGGAAGGAATGAATATGGGACGGGGACGCTGGGCCTTTTTGGGCAACGTCACCATCATGGGACCGTGCGCCGGGCCCGGGACGATGACTTGCCGCGGCGGCGCCGGCAGCGGCGGTAGTTTGGCGACGAAAGTGGGGGCGGCCGAAGACTGGGCGTTCTGCAGCTTGGGCAGCAGGCCGGACGCCGACAGGGTGTTCAACAGCGGGTACACCACGGACCGCGGCAGCGAGCCGATGGCGGACGGCGACGCGGACGATATGGCGGCCAGCAGGGCGAGCAAACCGGCGGGCTGCACTTGGTTCAACACGCCGGGCGACGAAGCGACGGCGTTGAGAAGCGTCAACAGCGCGTCCGGTGTCAACGAGCCGAACAGTTGCGGATTGGTGGACAGAGTGTTCACTATGCTGCCGAGCGCCGGTTCGGGTAGCGCGTTCAACGTGGACGTCGAGCACAGTGTGGACAGCAGGGCGACGAGCGGCTGAGACTTGTCGGGCTCGACGGGTGCGTTCGGACAAGCGCCGTCGGAACTCTAAAACACACAAAAAAATTATAACTTTTTATTAGTTTTTTATAAACAGTCTTCTGTCAAGCTAATATATTTGTTTCATCACAAAACGGATATTATATTGTCACTCTTTTTTTTTTTTTAAATATTTTTTATCATTGCCATCCGTTTTGCGCACAGTCATCACAACAACGGCAATTTTGAGTTGACACGACCGTTTGTACGGGTTTCATTTGTGTTATTCAACGTTATTGTGTATGTTATATTTTGTATTGTATATACCTTAAACTGCAGCAAGCACACGGCCGCCAAGACAACCAGTGTCGACCTCTTCATCCCGCGAAGACGTTTTGCCGGTCGATGACGATTGCAATATGAATGTGCGGTGCAAAAGACGCCTGCGATGGCTTATATAACGTGCGATAGCCGATAACCGACGGTGTTGTGTGCGCCGTGTGGTTCAGAAATAATAATAAAACGTTCAGGAATTGGCTGGACGATAATGGAAGAAGCGCCTTCTCACTCAGATACGCCAGGAACGTGATTTGTATTAACCGTTTATAATCGTAATAAAAATAGAAAATATTATGCTCGAGCAATGCCGAACGTTATCGCCGCGTAAACGACTCGAATTCTTCAGTAGACCTATCCGAGATATAAAGAATAAGATTTCATAAGAAAAAAATACAATTAAAACTCAATTGTTTTACACGTGGAAGACATCTGCAAAAAAAAAAAACATTGAAGAAACCGCACAAACATCGTTTTTTTATTCCTTCTTGTAGTCTTATTAAGTCCCTTAACGTACAATGTGTAAAATGAAAAACAATACATCAACAAGTGATTACTATGATTACTTGTATGTGGTTATATAAATTAAGCATACTGTAATTAGTCATATTTTTCAAAAATAAATTAAACAGATGTGTGTTGAGTAGTATCAACAATACATGCATTAATAATTATTCACACACACACACACACACACACTATTCATTAAAATTGCTTAATATTGATGTTACCCATCCGCATGTCACTTTGGAAATAAATGCTTACCTACTCAAAAATAATCTTTTAATTTGTCCTAAAAACCGTGTAGTTTTGTTGATTTATTTAAAAAACAAATACAATTTTTTTTATTATGAACGCATCTGAAATGTTTCAAACAAGACTAACAAAATAATATATTGCGTTTTATCTAATTTTTTTTTTTTTATTATTAAATTTAACACACAGCGCTCTTTTTTTCATTATACCGTCTACTCTCTTTTTAAACCAAGGCCATTCTCGACAAACGTATACGGAATTTAAGCATTCAAGAAACAATGAAGCCATGAAAAAATGTCAGAATTAAAATACAAAATGTGAATGTTGGATTAATAATACAAAGAAAAGTCGACGAGATAATCTAGATAAAGTTCTCATTATTTTCAATATTGTCTACGATTGTACACATCAGAGCTTAACGTTTAAATTAAAATTTAGAAAAAATTGCCTATACCTATCTCCTTAATAAATATGGGGATACGAAGTCCGCTTAATGTTATAAAACTAGATTTTTTTTCTATTTATCACTAATTGGGTGTCTAAGTAATATTACTCAGCTGCGTTTTTTTTTTAATAAACATTATTTATTAAACAAAAAAAATCAACGACTGTCGCTGTTTTTTTTTTTTAATAATAATATACTTGATTAACTGGGAACTGTATTATGACGAATGAGATTTGTTTGTTATTCGCTGGTCTTTTTATAACTTCCGATATCGGACGGATAATACTTTGGTTTGTTGTTAATTTAAAAATAAAAAAACATGCCGATAATTAAAACGTAAAAACGTAGCACATTGGGAAAAAATTTCACGTTTGATTTGTAATCATCACACGGTAATATTTTTCGCTATTAAAGATAATGTTGTCTTATTGTTTGTTGGTTTTATTATCGAACATATAGATTAAACAAACAAATATTATATAAAATCTATATCAATTTATAACACGGACATGGTAAATAAACAAGACCGTATAAAAGAAACGCATTTCAGCAGCAGAATCACAGTTGAACAGCCGAAGCATTTGTAAGTGGTAAAAAGAAACCATCATGAAGGCGTCGACGTTCATTGGATTGTTCGCCTTGTGCGTTGTGAAATTTCAGGTAAGTTTTTTCACACACCGACGATGACATGTTGAATGTCCTGCAATGTTTAACGTGTTCCCATAATGTTGTGGCAATTTCGTTTTCCAGGGCTTTCAAGTCGAAGGTGCGTGCGTGCCACTTTGTGGAGCACCTGCATTGCCACCCTCGTGCACCTCTCCCCCGGTGAATCCGTCGGTCTCTCAGTTACCAGAACTCCTCGAATTGTTGAGTTTACTTAGCAAAAGCCCAGCTCCAAGTCCGGCCCCACCTCCAGTCTTGCCCCCACCATGCCCATGTCCACCTGCCTTGCCCCCGCCATGCCCATGTCCACCTGCCTTGCCCCCGCCACCTGTTGTGCCACCACCATGTCTTCCACCACCTGTCTTGCCCCCACCTGTCTTGCCACCACCATGTCTGCCACCACCAGTTTTGCCCCCACCATGTCTGCCACCACCAGTTTTGCCTCCACCATGCTTGCCAACCCCGTGTCTGCCACCACCTGTCGTGAAACCACCTGTTGTGCCGCCACCTGTGAATCCTGTTATCGCCCTGCTTAGTACGCCTTGTGCTATTACGAAACTCCCGTTGCCACAACTGCTGGACCTGTTGAACTATATCGTGTGCAACCCTGCGGTGTTGTCCGGTGTACCGCCAAAGGTTATTATCGAGTTGCTCGCATTCGTCGCGTCCAACCCGGCCGTCTTGCAAGCCATACCGGTCGACACGCTGCTCGGTCTGGTCAAAGCTGTTCTAGCCTTATTGCCCGTATTGTCGACCGTCGTGCCGGCCAACATCCTCCAGGCTTTCTTGACCGCTCTTTTGGCAGCCAAAGGTATCACCAGTCCAGCGACCTCTACGACTATTCAAGCCCAAGTGTCCCTGCCACCGGCACCGACACCGACCATCGTGGCCGGACCCAACACACCGCCAATAGTCGTCCAGTTGCCCAAGGTGGCGTTGCAAAAAGCACCGGTCGTTTTTCCAGCCGGTCCATCGCCGAATTTGCTACTGAAACTCTGCCAAGCTCCTCCTCAGCCCCCGAAAGTCGTCGGCAACACCTGCTCCGGACCGATAATCATCAACGACAACAGTAAAGTCAAAGACCCCACTATCACATGTGCACCGGCGCCACCACCTTCGAGTGTTATCTTGGAATTGCCCTCGCCAAATCCGGCCGGCCCTCCTATAGTGTTGCCACCTTCACCTTTGCCACAAGTGTTCTACAACCCTGGTGACATCTGCAGCTTCGCCGACATTGTTCTGCAGTCACCACCTCTCCCGCCTAAGTTGTTCACTATGCCGCAGCCACCATTGTCTCCACAACCAGGCTACCCAATCCCTCCACCATGTCCACCGTTGCCACCCGTACTTGCTTCGATACCTTGTCCCCCGTCTTGTGGTTGTTAGAAACAATGTAATGTTAACGAACTAAAATTTTGAGCTAATTAACAATGGTAGTTACAGTAGCCGTATAACTCACACAATAGAATAAAACAATACCCAAATGTAGTAAATAAAATAGGCCAACAACGATCATAATAATATGTAATTTTAATATTAATAAAAAAAAAAAATGTATTGAATATTATCATACATAAGTGATATATGTGACTATTGACTATGAATCTGATTATAATCACCAAAAAAAAACCTTAATACTTGGTATGAAAAATTTTTAAAAATAATAGCTAAATTCGTCAAAAAGAATGTAAAGAGTAAATAAGGCATAAATTATCACAAACCAATACTTATGGTGCTTTGGATGACAAAATAATAACACTTTCAACAATGTGTATAGTATTTGTGGCTATCGTTTATTGAAAATGATTAAACAGTTTTAGCAGTAACAATATTACAATAGAATAATAATTCTTTTGATTTAATGATATCCGCAATGTATTGAGAATAGAAATAATATAGGGTAACAATCAGAACAGTCTTTTTACAACCGCAACAATTTGTCGTAAAACGTTCTACACAATATTTTGAATTATGCAAAATATAAGTAGTCAAAAGGTTTTAGACCGAAACAGTTCTTAACAACCGCAGATGGAAGAAGGCACACTTGGTACAGTGGCGAGCAAGGCAGGCAATTGTTGGCATGGGGGTGGTGCGTAATAGGGCTGTGGGCAAGCTGGGGCGGCTGGAGCGACAAACAAGTTCGGTAGACCAGATGGGGCTTGTAAAACTATGTCTGGGGTGCTGGAGCTGGAGCCTGGGCTGTATAAGATTTGTGGCAAAGGTGCGGGCGGCAACACTATGGGTGCGCTGGGCGTTGGAGTTGGCAGGGACACGACGATGTTGGCTGGTGGTGGAGCTGGAGCGTTGGTGATCGTACCGCTGTGTGAGTTTTGGCTGTCGTTGATGATGATCGGACCTGGAGCACAAGCTGGCAGGATGGTCGGGCCACAAGACGGTTGTTGTTGCAGCTTAAGCAGTAAGTTGGGAGCTGGTCCGCCTGGGACGACGATTGGGGTTCTGGATACGGTTTTCTTTGGCAGTTGGACGACGATTGGGCCTGGAGCCGGGGCGGGAGCGATGATTGGTGCTGGTGCGGCGGGGATGGACAAGCTAGCGACAACTGGCGCAGACGATGAAGGCAGACCAAGAGCTGGCAACACGGGGGCCAAGAGAGCCAACAGAACAGGTTGGGGAATGAGTGGCAACAGAGCTGGGGCTGCGGTAGCGATGGCCTTGACGAGACCGAGGATGATGGAGGGTGGGACTAAGGCGACGATTGCCGGGTTGGCGGCTAATTCGGCGAGGACGGCGATGAGTACATTGGGTGGGATAGCGACCAACAAGGACGGGTTGGACGCCAATAAAGTGAGCAAATTAATGAGCACTGGTGGAGGGATGGTGGGCAAGAGAGCTGGGTTGTTGGCGAGGGTGGTCAAAAGGCAAACGATGGCTGTAGGGGGGACTGAAGGTAAAGCGGCTGGGTTGCTGAGCAAAGGAAGTAAGGAGGCCAACGGGAGAGGAGATCCAACGGGTGTTGCTGGGAGGGATAAGGGTGCTGCTGGTAAGGCGCATTGTGCGTTTGTGCTCTAGAAAAACATTGGGAAAAACAAATTAAACACTTTTTTAACAATTGTTGAGGAGTCATAATGAACTGTATTGTTTACTTACTCTCAGTGTGAAAAGACACACAACCGCACAGGCAACGAAGACGGTCTTCATGTTTTTTTTTTTTAAGGGGGATTTTTCTTTAATGAATTATTCCAAGAAAATATTGGGTTCAATGTTGAGTGTGTCTGTACAACGGATTGCTCACACTTTTATACTATTAATTATGTAGGAAACGAACTGCACTCTGATAGTCTATCTGAATGCATTATCGTTTCAGGAGTTTACACCACATTTCTTCTGTGTTATCGTTTTTATACAAATTATATTCGTGATGATATATCGTTTTACTTGCATTTCCCATCACACGAGGAAATCATAATCCATTTTTTTGGAATGAGTTTTTTTTTTCTAAGTCTTTTTTCATTTGAACTCTAATGTCGATAAGTATTAGTCTATATCATAGTCGCGAAATAAGGCGAACCAAATAGGCAACTCATTTACACGCATAATTTTTTGCTAAACATTTACTTTTATTTCATCAATTGATTTAACTTTAAGGAGTATTATTTATAGTTAATATTTTGAAGTGCATAAATATTACATTGTTATAATACCGTCTTGTTATATGTTATTTTTTTTTTTAGTTTTCATAAGTAATGCAAGTGCTTCAATCAAGTAAAATATAATTAAATATAATACAATTTTACAAAAATAGAATGTTTCTTATTAGTTTGTAACAATTCTATTAAGAAAATAGTTTCTGTATAGTTACATGGAGATTTAACGCAATTATAAATTTACACAAATGGTTTTATAAGTGTTCAAATTTTTGTTCGCCTCTTAATCAGTTAAGTAACTTAAAAACACAAGATTTTTAAGCAACTCAGTTATTGGTAAAAGCGTCACCAATAAAATGTTAAGCCTATAATATTAATCTTAATTTAGAATGTAAAAAAGTGGAGACAGATTAACACATTGGCCAATAATTCATAATGGGTTCACTTTTTATTTTTGTTTTACATTGATTCAAACATTTATAGATCACTAAAATGTCAGCATAAAAGTTTAACTTTTTAAAGGTACAATACATAAACACCATTATTATTTTAAACTTAACTGGTAAATAGTTTAAGTACTGTTCTATTTTCCAATTAAATTTTATAAGTTCTTTTGAAAAGAAATAGTGTAGGACTAACTGAAAAACACAAACAAGTTATTTATCCTCTTTTGTAAAATATTAATTGAATTCAATGAAGACACTAAGTTTTAAGATAATGTCACATAACTTAATTTTATATTGTTGTAATTCCTGTGTTTAAGCTATGTTTTTTGCTAATCACTTTGACTCGCCTGCATTTGATAATTTCAACCTGAACAATAAAGTTGTGAACATATTTTGGTTTAGCTACATTTTTTTTATGTTTATTATTACTTTTAAAAGTTATTAGAGCAGCGATCAATATGATTTATTTTGTCATTTTGAGAAAGATAATATTTCTGAGGTGTAATGTGGTGTACCAAATACACAGTATACCATGACAAGGGAAAACGCTATTTTTTTGACTTTTGTTTAACCTACATTTGATAGAGTGTGCAAGATAATTGATGGAAATAGCCAGAACACCATTACTAAAGTAATCAACTATACTGGCCAACTTAGTCAGTCGAGGTCGACGTCTGACCATCTTCGAGATGTGGCTTAATCGTTCAAATCACACTTTTTTAAATACATTTTTAAACGTATCAACCGCAACTGTATAAATTTCTCTTTTTATTAATTTTTCTCAGCTTAAGCTTGCTCATTCATCTGTGCTGCTGTTTTACCTGGACTAATATTATACATATAAAAATTGTTCTAGGACCAAGGTAGAGGTGTATATATTTATTATATCTCTGGCACAGGTTAAAAAAATGATGACACAATAGCCGTTAGTATTTTGTTGTCTTAAATATTTATTGTGTGCAAAAATGACCAGTTGTATGCTATATGTCATTGGTATTACTCTTACTGAATAAAACTATAATAATACTATATGAATCTACACTGAGAGCAATTTTTATTTACAAAAAAATGATTTATCAGTGACAACTTGACAATTTACAGTTGAACAACTTAACGTTAAGTAATGTTAACTAAATTAAAGTTGAAGTGGCAGTCGATAACCCTTTATTTACTCAGTAAGTTCAACTACAAAATTTCAGTTGCCACATTTTGATTTTCCACGCTTTGGATAACAACATAATTAAAGCTTTCAACAATGTGTATAGTATTTGTGATTATTGTTTATTAAAAATGATTAAACAGTTTTAACAGTAACAATATTACAATAGAATAATAATTCTTTTGATTTAATGTTATCCCAATGTATTGAGAATTTCAATTCTTGTATTAAGAATAGAAATAATATAGGGTAACATTCAGAACAGTTTTTTTACAACCGCAACAATTTGTTGTAAACCGTTCTACACAATATTTTGAATTATGCAAAATATAAGTAGTCAAAAGGTTTTAGACCGAAACAGTTCTTAACAACCGCAGATGGAAGAAGGCACACTTGGTACAGTGGCGAGCAAGGCAGGTAATTGTTGGCATGGGGGTGGTGCGTAATAGGGCTGTGGGCAAGCTGGGGCGGCTGGAGCGACAAACAAGTTCGGTAGACCAGATGGGGCTTGTAAAACTATGTCTGGGGTGCTGGAGCTGGAGCCTGGGCTGTATAAGATTTGTGGCAAAGGTGCGGGCGGCAACACTATGGGTGCGCTGGGCGTTGGAGTTGGCAGGGACACGACGATGTTGGCTGGTGGTGGAGCTGGAGCGTTGGTGATCGTACCGCTGTGTGAGTTTTGGCTGTCGTTGATGATGATCGGACCTGGAGCACAAGCTGGCAGGATGGTCGGGCCACAAGACGGTTGTTGTTGCAGCTTAAGCAGTAAGTTGGGAGCTGGTCCGCCTGGGACGACGATTGGGGTTCTGGATACGGTTTTCTTTGGCAGTTGGACGACGATTGGGCCTGGAGCCGGGGCGGGAGCGATGATTGGTGCTGGTGCGGCGGGGATGGACAAGCTAGCGACAACTGGCGCAGACGATGAAGGCAGACCAAGAGCTGGCAACACGGGGGCCAAGAGAGCCAACAGAACAGGTTGGGGAATGAGTGGCAACAGAGCTGGGGCTGCGGTAGCGATGGCCTTGACGAGACCGAGGATGATGGAGGGTGGGACTAAGGCGACGATTGCCGGGTTGGCGGCTAATTCGGCGAGGACGGCGATGAGTACATTGGGTGGGATAGCGACCAACAAGGACGGGTTGGACGCCAATAAAGTGAGCAAATTAATGAGCACTGGTGGAGGGATGGTGGGCAAGAGAGCTGGGTTGTTGGCGAGGGTGGTCAAAAGGCAAACGATGGCTGTAGGGGGGACTGAAGGTAAAGCGGCTGGGTTGCTGAGCAAAGGAAGTAAGGAGGCCAACGGGAGAGGAGATCCAACGGGAGTTGGTGGAAGAGCTACCGGTGACGTGCATGGAGGTGGAGAAATGCATTGAGCGTTTGAACCCTAAGAAAGTAGAAAAAAGTTAATAAGTTTCATACTTAGTTTAAATAACGTTTAAACTTACTCTGCATGTCAGAAGACAAATTGTTGCAAATATCAAAGATGTGTATTTCATTTTTATTTGATTTTTTTTTACTTTAGCTGTGTAAATCCGGACGCTGTACTTGAATGTTTGATGATCATTTTATTCTCCCCTTATATACTAAAAATTTTAAATGATAAAGTCTAAAACGTGATAAGTTTTTTTCAAAGAAAAATTACCTATTTTATCGTTCAGTTTTTTTTCAATTGTTTTTTTGTTATCTACCGAGTAGCTCATTTCCGGAGTTGGATTTATTAGATTGTCTTTATCTTTTTTTGTACTGAAGTGTATAGTGTGCTAAAAAACACCGGTTGGTAACTACAATTTGTTCTTAATGTTTTGGCCATACGTTTGTTTGAGAAATGAACAATTAAATAAATATTTTGAAAAATTTTAAGGAACTTGTTCTAGGTTAAGTTGCATAATAGTCGTTTCAAAATAATAAACGACAGCAATTTTAAATAACATTTATTTTTTTAAAGAGGTCAACTTAACATAATTGAGGACTACTAATTTTAGATATTGACAGCTCTATGACGATAAGTTGAGATTAAGTATAACATTTATACAAAATGTCATGTTTCAAGAACCTTATAATTTTAATGCTGAGTGGGTCTGTCAGTCAGTAACAAAAATGCATACTTTGATATTCTCCCATTTCGAAAAGACTTAATATTAAGAGCTCAAATTTTTTTTATTGTCCTAAGCTACTTAATCTATGTTTTAAATTTCAAAAGCCCGTCTTAAGAAGGAGCAGAGATATGAGGGTGAGAAAAACTGGATGAATTGGTTCATACACTGACATGCCTGACCTGGCGCACTGCCAAGCGCTCAAATTGCATTTTGAAAGGCCATAAAACTATTAAGAACACTTAACTAAACAAATTATAAGTAGTTTTTCCTTTTTAAATATGTTTTTTCAGCAGCCAAGAAGTTTTTTAATAATAATAATATTAAAAAAAAAAAATCATTATTAAGTAATATCATATGGTTTTGGGTATGGATTTCTTTTGTTGATACACCTTTCTTTTGTAATTTTTACCTATTTGCCTTATCTCATACATATTTTGTGGTTAGGTCGCTTTTGTCTACTCCCAACTTGTTTAATATATTGCTGTCATATAATAATATGTGATTTTTAAAATTTTGAGTTAATAAATATTGTTTTTTTTTTATTATTGTTTTTATATAAATTGTAACTAGACAAAATGGCAGTGTCTGTACATAATCAACCTATGTAGATGTTACATTTTAAACCTAGACGGTTTTATCAATATTTTACAATTTTTTCTTATTCGCAATTTTTATTTCCCTGAGTATAATTGTTGATTTTTTTTCTTTTTAACAAAGTAATCACAAAGTGCACTCTGATGGTATTTTCTCTGCCGCCAACAATAGCTATAGATAACCGTTGTTTATAATTATTGTAGACTTCTTTTTTCTTGTTTTACAAATAACGTCCATACAATATTGTTCAGAACCAGTTCGGTTAATCTTTTTTTGCAAAAAATTTACTTGGTATGACTAATTGTAATTTTTTTAACCAACAAACACTAAAATATTATCAATATTACACACGGTGTTGTTTTGGGGCTAAAATCTGAAACACAGGCTGAAGGTAGATCTGGAATGGAACTATAATATTAGTTTTTATACTTATATAAGCTGGTCAATACTCTCAATAACATAGGTACATATATGTTTACACGGCTTGTTGATATCATTACTATATATTTATTACATCTGTATTAACCGTTTCAGTGTAAAACAAGCTACTCACCGCCACTGTCCTTCTGCCGCTGCTATTAGTATTGATAATTGTAATTGTTATTGTAATTTATAATGTTATTCACTTAAAACTGTAATCTTCGCATAACTATTATTATTATTGAATAAAATATATGCAATTTTAAAATTTCTAAGCTGGAAATCAGTCTATAGATAGGTCTAACATAATACACTCATAACATGTGTAAAATGTCTTACCTTCTGCGACCATATTCGGCTCAAAAATCCTAAAAATATGCCCAGAAGTTAAAAAAAAATCACCCTCTTGTGGGGTTGGGTAAATTAAATTTGCATTTACTAGGCAATTATCCAACAGGGTGAGTCAAAGTATTAAGAGTTGACAAATCGTCAACATTTGTCTTAGTTTTTTTTATCTATTTAAATACAATTGTTTTATTTCTAACCCACTAAGTACTAATTAATTGCATACTTAAGTTTAGGCTTTCCAATAAATGTTTCTAACTGGTCTCTGTTAATTGGAATGTTTTACCTGTATATAGTTACATAACACATATTAGAATAGAACAACAGTTTTAAATAGAAACTTACCATACTAATAATATAATATATTTTAAACTTTTTTAGCTGTGAAATGTGTGTATTACCTAACTATAATAATTTCAAGTTATAGTTTGTTTTTACATTTATATTTATATTTAAAATTAAAAATGTAATGTTCTTTTTCACATTTAACACAAAAGTGAGTTTGAATCAATAGCCAGCAGATAGGTATATGAAAAACAATTTCACATTATATTATTGTTGATAACATACTTCCTGTTGGTAACACATCTAACCTAACCTTGCAGAAAAAAAAGTGAAATAAAATTCTATACACATTGCAGCTTATATAATGTTTTTTTTTATCGATTTTTGTATTTCTACCATCACCCGATTCGCGATAAAGCGTTTATTTGAAAGTGATTTTATTGTTAAGATCGGAAAAATGGACTTGTAAAGTTCAAAGTTCACTTATAATAATGTTAGAACAAAAAAAAAGCCAATACAATTATACTACACAAATGCTGTCAATGTCAAGGCCATTCAAGACCTTTCAAATGAATTGCACTTACGTGGGAAACTCTAATAACCGGTCACAATAATAACACATCTATAAATCATTTTTTTTCTTAAATTTTCTACTGGTTATACGGTACAATTTATAGTAGCAACATGTTTACTTCTCAGACAGTGGTATACAATGCTGACACCGGATGTTTTTAAATTGAATACGGTAGGTCAAGAAATATGAACCAGTCGGCATTATTGTGACATAGATAATCACCACATTTTTTATGTGCCAATGTAACAATATTTTATTTTTTTTCGGTAAACATTTTGTGAGTATATGGAATTTTCATAAATTGTTTACATTTCTGATGGCGGGACCTAGCGATAAAGTGGTTTAGCTTAAAATATAATTTTACAATACATGAATTAAAATCTAAACTATTATCAAAAGCGAAACCAAACCGGAAAGGACAGCATTTAATCGTACCACGCTAAAAGGGTTAATAGGAAATATTACGGAAAGTAACAAGCCTAATTTTTATTTATTATATTATATACCTTATTTAACCAGTTGTGCTGTTAGTTAATGAGTATAAATAACATAAGTAAACTATGCATGGTTGAATCGAAAATTAATATATGATCATTGCATGTAGTAATCCAGTACTTACCAGTATGATTATTTAATTTCATTGTTTATTACATAAATCAAACACATACTCATAAGATAGAACCGTTTATTTATTCGTTCAATATGTAAACCGAAATACTTGATGCAAAATAACTAGAAAATGGCTATTTTGAATTATGCAAAATATATAAGTATATTAATGGTTTTAGACTGAAACAGTTCTTAACAACCGCAGATGGAAGAAGGCACACTTGGTACAGTGGCGAGCAAGGCGGGCAATTGTTGGCATGGGGGTGGTGCGTAATAGGGCTGTGGGCAAGCTGGGGCGGCTGGAGCGACAAACAAGTTCGGTAGACCAGATGGGGCTTGTAAAACTATGTCTGGGGTGCTGGAGCTGGAGCCTGGGCTGTATAAGATTTGTGGCAAAGGTGCGGGCGGCAACACTATCGGTGCGCTGGGCGTTGGAGTTGGCAGGGACACGACGATGTTGGCTGGTGGTGGAGCTGGAGCGTTGGTGATCGTACCGCTGTGTGAGTTTTGGCTGTCGTTGATGATGATCGGACCTGGAGCACAAGCTGGCAGGATGGTCGGGCCACAAGACGGTTGTTGTTGCAGCTTAAGCAGTAAGTTGGGAGCTGGTCCGCCTGGGACGACGATTGGGGTTCTGGATACGGTTTTCTTTGGCAGTTGGACGACGATTGGGCCTGGAGCCGGGGCGGGAGCGATGATTGGTGCTGGTGCGGCGGGGATGGACAAGCTAGCGACAACTGGCGCAGACGATGAAGGCAGACCAAGAGCTGGCAACACGGGGGCCAAGAGAGCCAACAGAACAGGTTGGGGAATGAGTGGCAACAGAGCTGGGGCTGCGGTAGCGATGGCCTTGACGAGACCGAGGATGATGGAGGGTGGGACTAAGGCGACGATTGCCGGGTTGGCGGCTAATTCGGCGAGGACGGCGATGAGTACATTGGGTGGGATAGCGACCAACAAGGACGGGTTGGACGCCAATAAAGTGAGCAAATTAATGAGCACTGGTGGAGGGATGGTGGGCAAGAGAGCTGGGTTGTTGGCGAGGGTGGTCAAAAGGCAAACGATGGCTGTAGGGGGGACTGAAGGTAAAGCGGCTGGGTTGCTGAGCAAAGGAAGTAAGGAGGCCAACGGGAGAGGAGATCCAACCGGAGTTGCTGGGAGGGATAAGGGTGCTGATGCGCAAGGTGCTGGTAAAGCGCATTGTGCGATGGATCCCTGAAAAAAAGATTGTCTTTTGAATAATTTGTCCTATAAAAATAAGTGTCATTTATAAATTATTTAAACAATTTCCAACCTTAATCAGCAAAATGCACAGCGCCGCAGACAGAACCATTGACTTGGCCATTTTTGGAAGTTGGTTTTTGAATGTTCAAGTCGAATGTGAATAAATGGTCTTGTTTCTTTCTATTTATATGCAGTTTAGAAAATGTAATCATTCGTCGAAATAATACTCATGTTGGTGGTTCGTCTGATATAATATTATCTAATCGGTATTAATTGTTTGATGATTAAAATGCAGCACTACAAACTATTTCCGCCAATAGATTTCATTTGGTTCTTTGTAGATTCTGTTAAATGCTTTGGGACTATATTTTTATTTTCTTATATACCTTTTTTAATCGTTTTAACACTTTCATTGTCGATCAGAAATCGCGTTCAGTAGGTACTTTGATGAGTCAAATGGAGAAAATAGAAAACTTCCCACAATATTAGAAAATATATTTTAACTTTTATTTTACATTTTTCCTTGAAACAAACTATTTTTAACTCACTAAATACTAAAATCTTTTGTGTAGTTTGAATCGTATGGAATTCTTTAAAAAAAAAAGAAAAGGTCGCAGGCATAAAAATAGGAAATATATTGCAATGGTGTTATAAATGTTCTCATATTAAAAATATATTCAAAGTTAAAAGTACATACACAAATATTGTTAACGGTTTTTTGTATGTCATTTATTTTATATAAACAAATTTTGTTTTTTATGTGTTAACACTTTAACTCTTATCTTTTGTTTATTTGCGCCTTCCTTAAAATTAATACTTCATTTAATTTGTGATTAAGAACAATCGAGCAAATTGTGATGATTGGGAATAAGCAATATTTTAACTTTTTCGATGCTTCTGTTATGTCTTTTGTACAGATCTTAATTGTGTTGATCATTTCAACTACCGCATAAGTTATAAAACTGAAATTACACTAATAACTTAATAATTACTCCATAAATTAACATAATTATACATTTTTACATAGTTTAAATTTGCTTTGTAATATCTGATATTTATAAGGATTCATAATTTTAATTAATAGTCTACCTTTGGCTATATTTCAATAAATCAAAATAAAATATTCTTATCTTATGTGATTTTTGCGAGGAATAAAAGTGTATTAATTAGGTCAAATTAATTATGTATTGCTAACAAAAGTATTTAAATTTAATTGTTAATAATTTAAGTAAACCGACTACCGGCGACTATCTTGAAAGGGTTGGAGGGATAAACTAATTCCTTTGCATATATAGAAAAAAGGTAAACATATCAAAGACATATTACTATAGCCGTTGCACAAACTTGTGTATTTTTTTTTACCAAATAATTATAATAAATGCATTGATTATTGGTAAATAAATCATATTATGTAATATCACTAGAAACCATTGAAACTCAACGATTTAAAATTTTTAATATACTTTAATACACAACAAAAGGTATTGCTTATTAAGTAAGAAAAAAATATGTAAAAAATTATATTTTGTGAAAATTACTTTTAACCTATAATGATAATGTTATAACTAAAGCATTGCCAATTTTAAATCCACCAAGACGTTGAATAATATCTGTTTCAATGACTTGTGAAATCCATAAAAAGTATTTAAATACAAGACAGTCCAGGGCCGAACTTAGTATATAATAAGATAAGTATAATAATATGATCGTTATTGCAATTATTATTAGTTATCGGTTCTCATTGAAATCCGCGTTACCTACTCCTAGGAATCGCATTACACTCAAGTGAATTCATTACAGTGTACCTATCGACAAGATAGGTACTGAAAAAGATTTGGTAAAAGATGTAATAGATTTAGTGTGCATCATGACATTTCGAGGAATGATCATTATCTTCTATCGGATAGTCATATTATAACTTCCTTGACTACCTTATAAAGTGACTGTCGACATTTGAATGGGACAACGATACACTCCTAAATCCTAACAATGTACTACTATATGAATGTATACAAAACTGTTTTACACAACTCATGACGCCAAAGTAGTTTTCGATGACCAAATAAAATATGATTCGTCAACAGCTGTAAATATATGTGTTTTCGCTGAAAGTCAAGTTTGTATAAACGGTTTGTTAAAAGTAACGATTCATATCAGAGTTAATAAACGATTGTGCGTTGTATCAATATATATATATTAAATACACACATTAGAGGAATGAGCGTGCAAAGTAAAGCAAGATGAAGTACAATAGTCGATTATAGAAAAAATCTAGCAAAACAAATTAACCAGTCAAATAATTAAATAAACTAACAAAGAAATTTTATTGATTTTTGAGTATCAAACAGAACTAGAAAATTTCTATGCATATTTTAAGTCAATCAGACAACAGGAATCAAACAATTTTCAACAACAACGGAAATATGGTAAAATATTCCTTAACATCCGCATGCATTAGCGGGTACACTAGGTACAGTGGCGAGCAATGGGGGCAGTTGTTGGCACGGGGGTGGTGCGTAACAGGGCTGTGGACAGGCTGGAGATGGCAGGACGAACAATTTTGGCAGACAGGACGGGGCTTGTAACACGATGTCTGGGGTGCTGAAGCTGGAGCCTGGGCTGTACAAGATCTGTGGCAAAGGTGCGGGCGGCAACACTATGGGTGCGCTGGGCGTTGGAGTGGGCAGGGAGAAGATGATGTTGGCCGGTTTTGGAGCTGGAGCGTTGGTGATGGTGCCGCTGTGTGAGTTTTGGCTGTCGTTGATGATGATCGGACCCGGAGCACAGGCTGGCAGGATGGTCGGGGGACAGGACGGTTGTTGTTGCAACTTGACGAGCAAGTTGGGGGCTGGACCGCCCGGGACGACTATCGGGGTCCTGGATACGGTTTTCTTTGGCAGCTGGACGACGATTGGGCCTGGAGCCGGGGCGGGAGCGATCACCGGTGCTGGAGCGGCGGGGATGGACAGGCTAGCGACAACGGTCGGCGACGAGGGTGGCAGACCTAGGGCGGGCAGTACGGGGCTCAGGAGCGCCAACAGAACTGGTCGCGGAATGAGGGGCAACAGAGCTGGGGCGGCTGAAGCGATGGACTTGACGAGGCCGAGGATGACGGGGGGCGGGACTATGGCGACGATGGCCGGGTTGGCGGCCAATTCGGCCAAGATGGCCACGAGTACATTGGGGGGGATGGCGACCAACAGGGACGGGTTGGACGCCAGTAAAGTGAGCAAGTTGATGAGCACCGGTGGGGGGATGGTGGGCAGGAGGGCTGGATTGTTGGCCAGGGTGGTCAAGAGGCAAACGATCGAGGATGGAGGGACCGTGGGCAAGGCAGCCGGGTTAGCGAGCAGGGGAAGTAAGGTGGCCAAGGGTAGAGGAGCCGCTGGTGCTGCGCACGGAGGGCGGGCTAAGCATTGGGCGTTTGAGCTCTAAAAAATCAAAAAAAATAAACCAATATGTAAGTTTGATATAAAATATGTTTTTTAATATCGTTTTTTAATACTCACACTGAACGACAGTAGGCTCACTAAGGCGCAGGCAATGAACGTTGACTGCTTCATTATTTGAATTTTTTTTTGGTGTTTTTTTTTATTATATTCAACTCGGTTGATGACGATTTTCGAATGAGCCGACCGTCGATGCGGTTTGCTTTTTATAGTGCACTTTTGCGTTGCATTGTGTACCTAGATAGAATTCAAGAATGATAAAATAAATATTATCGTGAAATGTGTGTATTTTTATCTCGAAAAACGATTTACGCACACACTCGCCGATTAAGTAACGCATCGTTTCATCCTTGAAGACAATTTTGTTGTTAATCAGTATATTTAATTTCATTGGCAACGATCATACCGTTCGGTAATGATATATTCGGCACGTGTATCTCGATTATCACCTGGATCGTATGTTTAGACAATATTATGCCTCCTCGTGTTTGAAATTAAACGAATTTATTGAAATGCAATACCAATTGAGAGTACCTATAGCCAAAAATAAAAAAATAAGAGTAGTTTTTATTACTTAATGCAATTACAATACAATGTGTTGAATTACAATATTATGGTGTTATGCTTACTCAAGCAATACTAATAATAATATTGCTAACAAAACGAATCGAATTATTGAAGTTATTCGAAATGTTTAAATCTCTCAATTACCATTTTATCACTACGAATGCTGTTATTCGAACTACTTGACATAAGAGTGGTAAAAAAAAAAATGACCAAGATCCAATCTCAACACCTCGGAAAGTGTCAACAACATAATAATATGTAATACGTATTTATCCGATCGAGTTAGACCTGAAATGTTTTTACACTAAAATAGTGTTGGAAAAACGTACACCTATTCTTTGTAACAGCTGACTAACAAGTTATTCAATAATTATGAACCGGTTGGAATGGAAACAAGTTGAACAAATGTATTTATTTTTAGCAGTACTAATACATTTTTTATTTGTTTTGATATAAGTTTACATATTTTATTGACATATTTTTATAACAAATATTATGCTGAGGTACTTACCCGATGGACTAGAATGAAAAAAATAATTCAAATTCTTTCTTCATATTTTTTTTTTTACTTAACGGTTTGCTTGAAAAAAATCAAACTTTAACCACTTTAATACAAAATCCTATTTCCTAACCTTCGGGCAAAGGGCTTTGTAAGGAGTGGACATAACATTTTTTTTATTATTTGTTTTTTTTACTAGACGAATTTGATTAATTTGATTAACTACACAGAATTGGCGCAACTAGTATTAATTGATTGTCCTCTGGAAGTCCTCTCACGCCCAGAGTTGAAATTAAATAGATAATGGACAAACAATATGATGGTTTTAATAATTGTTTGTAAAAATTCACACAACGGAAGTGTTCCGTGTAGTTTATATATATATATTTTTTATAAACGTCCAATGTGAATGTGCGCGCATAAGCTACAAACGCTATGTTTGACAATAATCGTTTTGGAGATAACACTACCTACGGCTATTATCTTTGAGTGCAATTTTTTATCCGAGCAGAGCTTCGGCAACGTTTTTGATATAAAAAGAAGGATATCTCGAATCCGGAGTTACATTCCGTCTTGTGTTTGTGTGCTGTAGCAGAATCCACAATGAAGCAGAACCAATTCGTCGCCTGTGTATTTGTGTGCCTTTTGGTGCTGCCGGTGAGTTGACATCTAGAAAACATTCTAAAAATCCAAAAAAAAAACACTTTAACGATACAGTTTTTTCGCTGTATAAAAAAAAATACATTGTAATTTAATTTGTTCATTTTTTTTTTTTTTAGGCCCACAACTTTGTACAAGCCGACCAGACCGTCGCTACGCCTTCAATCGGAACGGTAAATATGTTTAATATTTTTGTGTTTTATTATTCTCAGGTTACCAAAAATGTATACACACACACAAGTCATACCCGAAAATATGTACTCGATTGGACTACCTATGTGTTGTTTCTTTTCTCATATTCGCATAAAAAACACAACATTGCATAAACTATAATCCGTTGGACAATTTTAGAGTTTTTTCTTTTTGTATTCAAGTACATTTGAAATCGTATTACTATTTTATACTTAACTTGAACACTTAAAAAACCACCGAGTGTTGAAATCTCCCGATCAAATATCGTCGCATAATTTAATTATTTTTCTCTATTTAAAGTGGACCTCTACCTAAACATTGTCCTTAATAAATTATGTGCTTTCTTCTAGGGTTCAACCGGAATTGAATCTGCTCCCGCATTGACACCAGCTAACAACGACCAAGATGGAAATGCCAATGGAAACGGAGTTGGATCGACGGCGATACTTCCAAACAACGTGAGTAGTTATTAACAGCCATATATTTTTTTATTAAATACAAAATAGAAAAATACTTTTGCATTCTCGTTGGAACGCCAAACATGATTTATCAGTCAAACAATTGCAATAACAAATAAAATAGTATTGCTAGGATTATATGTTTACCTGACTTGTTATAAAAAGTTCACTTTTAAAAAACTTTTTATTTGCATTTGAGGCGCTCAGGAGCCAAACCGATTAACTCCACTTTTTTTCAAATTGCGAATAATAGCATGTTTGGATTGCAAAAGTGTATAATTTTCAGTGGCCAAGATAACTAACTCCATAGTTGAATTTTTCACCACTAGAGTGCGCTGAGTACATTGGCAATCGTACTTACATACATTGTTTCGAATAAATTTAACTGGAAAATTTCATTTTATGGACTTGATCAGTTTGGCTTCTGAGCGACTCATTTGTCATGTCAATACAATCACACAGCTTTTTGACCAGCTTTTTCTATATTTCTATAATTAATTAAGTTTTCCTTAAATCTTTAGCCGTGTGCTCTGCCAACCGGCATCAACTCAGACGCCGAGTTACTCACCGTGTTGAGCTCCGAGACTTCCATAGCGGCTCTTCCCTCGCAGGTGCTCACCCAGGTCATCATGTACTTGGCCGCATCCCCCAACTTGGTGGCCATCCTGCCCCCACCCGTTCTCATCAACCTGGTGCTCGTGTTGACGGCCGCGCCCCAACTGGTGTGCTCGCTCACCCAACCGGCCCTTTACGCTTTGCTCGCCATCTTGACCGGCAAACCCTGCGTGCTGACCCTGTTGCCGTTGCCCGTGCTCGTGAAATTCATCACCGTGCTCCTCTCCCTGTCGCCTGGCACCCTCTACAACGCTCCCACCTCCGCGCTGGTCGTGCTCGTCGGACAAGTGAGCACGCCGGCCATCCTGACCGCTCTGCCCACCGGTGCCATCATCAACCTGATCACCGTCCTGTCGCTGCGCGAATCCCTGATCAACGGTCTGCCTTTGCCGACCATCGTGTCCCTGTTGACCTTCTTGGCCGGGTCGCCCACCATCTTGACCGCACTGCCGCCGTCCACCCTGTTTAAATTCGTCGAAGGACTGCTCGACACCCTGTTCGACTCCACGCCTTTCTTGGTCAACGCCGTGCCCACCGCCGTCTTGGGCAAAATCTTGGCCGTGATCCTGACCCCGTGCATCATCACCGTACTGCCCACCAGAACGATTAACCTGCTTTTGGGCGTGCTCGGCACTGCCCCGTCCCTGCTGTCCGTGTTGCCGTGCACCACGCTGGTGTCGCTGTTCACCGTCTTGGCCTCGTCGCCCAACATATTGGTCAACGTCAACACCAACTACATCGTCAACTTGCTCGTCCAAATCGTCACCTATCCAAACCTGATCAATGTCGTGCCCCAACAACTGATCGTCGCCTTGCTGAACGCAATCGCATCTTATTTGCCCGCCTCCTTAAACTCCATTCCCCCGTACGTCGTGTCTGCTTTGTTGGGTTACGGTGGCGGTTGCGGAGGCGGATGTGGAGGCGGATGTGGTGGCTGTGCCGTCGGCGTCGCTAGTCTTGCTAACTAGACTCCTTAACTACTTTGTACCGAAAATATACCAATTAACTATTTAAATCATCACTTCTTCAAAAACACAATTGAATAAAATATGAATATACATTTTTAAAAAAAAAAACCTATTGAAATTGATTTTTTTGTCACTTTTATGTCAATTATTTTCCATCTTTTAACCTAACCTAACCTAACCTAACCTAACCTAACCTAATATCTAACCTTACTAACCTAACCTAATCTCTAACCTAACCTAATCTAACCTAACCTAACCTTTGCCTTGTCAACCGATCTTCTCGCTACTATTTTTGTTGCCTCGTAACTTGGTAGAGGCGTTTTCTTATTTAACTTTCCAAGAACTGTGTATACCTCGGTCGTCCAACATATAATTGGTGGGTTGGTAACGTTAATGCAGTGGTATTTTTTATGAGGTATGTTTTGTCAATCTCCGGCCAGGAAGACCAGAGTTTTTTTTTCAAAACTACTTACACGGTAGTACAAAATATGGTAAACTGGGTGAGGTTGTCCAGCACTGTACGAAGAAGTGTTACAACCGGTTGACAATTTTTAATTGGGCTGTTAAAACGATAGAAATATGTGTGTAATATAACTTCGGTTACCCATCGAGAAGTTGAATTGCAATATTATTGTTAGTTATCGGTTACTAAGATGGAAATGTGGAGTAGAGTAGATAAACAAATAATCGCTGGTAGACATGTGCATAAAGAGACAAGTCTGTCTGCTACTGCGTGTGATAAGGCAACGTGTGAAAAGGCGAAGAAGAAGTGATAAGAGATATGGCATTCGACCAAAGGCCGTTGGTCAAAGAATGGTTCTTTTCTTTATCACACACAAGTCAAATGGGTTATCCCAAAATCTTCTTTTGCGTTGCAACTACTTAGTCAGTTTGACTGGAATAATTTGGTGATTTTTTTTTTATTTATCCAAGGAAGAGGGGACCCTATAGACGTTTTATCTGTCGATTGCGAAACAACCTTGAGTTTACACATTTTATTCGCTGACATTGTATGCTGCATTCATTTCAATGCATTCTTTAAACAGCGTGTTGTGCTATTCACACCGTGCGCTAATCATTTTCGTCAAGAACTGTGATAGAAGACTAACTATACGGGAAAAAAAAATAGGAACAATAGGATGTGTTGAATTTTTTTTTTAAATGAAGCAAATTATTATTATTGTTGTTGTTGATTAAACGATATCCGGATAAGCGTGCAACGAAAACGCATCAGTGATTATTATTATATTTTCAAAGCGTGCACCGAAACGAATATTGTTGTTTTCAGTTACACCGGTTATCGGTGGTTTTGTATTTGTAAGATAATAATAGTTTTTGTCCGTATAAACAAACGTCTTGAAAAAAATGATACATGTATTTTATTATCATATCCTCCAATGTAATAATTTAGTGCAAGACCAGTATAAAATTACTCTTCGGCCGCATATGCCTATTTTAATTACTGTTGTCGTGTACTGCCGTTAGCATAGTGCCTCTCTAGGTTAAGTTAAATGATACTTAAGTATATAGACAGAGGTTGGTCAATGTTTCATGCGGGTAGAGGGGGCTAAACATTTTTGTAAGACAAATCCGCTCTTTCATGTAAGCCTACAGTGTACAACAAGTCTAGGAATATTCCTTTGTCATTGATTGCCATACAACTTGTGTTGAATCTTATTTTGTGTCTAAATCAACAGCTCTACTCAACGTTTATCACCGATCTACATGTCGGTTGTATTATTCCATAGAAAATTATAATGATAATAATGTGTTTTAAGCTAAGACAAATATCTATCTTCTCATTTTTAGTGTGTAGCATTTTGTTTTTTGACCAGAAAATTTGAAATAATATTATTGGATATTGTTTATTTTGTGTTTTTTTTTTTAAATATTTAAACTATTTCCTGGCATGGAACGTTGTACATACTTAATTGGGTACTATTAAATTAAAACTTATGACTAAACCAAAAATAACAGATCACAATATAAATTATTTAACAGGTGTTATGCACACTATGTAGAAACAGTTTTATTTAAGTGTGACGCAAAGACAATATTGTTATTTTTAAAACAACAAAGCGATAAATGTTTTTAAAAAAAAAATAAACATCAGCCATCGCATCGAAGCTAAAAGTCTGGATTTTCTCCATCAGGCTTAAATTTCTAGGTCGCTGATTCGGCATTATTTTTCCATTTTACCTCTTACTTAAAGGATGGTTGGTGTTAGTAGGGCTGAAGGGTTGCAATTTCCAACCTAACCTAACCTAACCGCCCAACATATTGGTCAACGTCAACACCAACTACATCGTCAACTTGCTCGTCCAAATCGTCACCTATCCAAACCTGATCAATGTCGTGCCCCAACAACTGATCGTCGCCTTGCTGAACGCAATCGCATCTTATTTGCCCGCCTCCTTAAACTCCATTCCCCCGTACGTCGTGTCTGCTTTGTTGGGTTACGGTGGCGGTTGCGGAGGCGGATGTGGAGGCGGATGTGGTGGCTGCGCCGTCGGCGTCGCTAGTCTTGCTAACTAGACTCCTTAACTACTTTGTACCGAAAATATACCAATTAACTATTTAAATCATCACTTCTTCAAAAACACAATTGAATAAAATATGAATATACATTTTTAAAAAAAAAAACCTATTGAAATTGATTTTTTTGTCACTTTTATGTCAATTATTTTCCATCTTTTAACCTAACCTAACCTAACCTAACCTAACCTAACCTAACTATCTAACCTACTAACCTAACCTAACTCTAACCTAACCTAATCTAACCTAACCTAACCTTTGCCTTGTCAACCGATCTTCTCGCTACTATTTTTGTTGCCTCGTAACTTGGTAGAGGCGTTTTCTTATTTAACTTTCCAAGAACTGTGTATACCTCGGTCGTCCAACATATAATTGGTGGGTTGGTAACGTTAATGCAGTGGTATTTTTTATGAGGTATGTTTTGTCAATCTCCGGCCAGGAAGACCAGAGTTTTTTTTTCAAAACTACTTACACGGTAGTACAAAATATGGTAAACTGGGTGAGGTTGTCCAGCACTGTACGAAGAAGTGTTACAACCGGTTGACAATTTTTAATTGGGCTGTTAAAACGATAGAAATATGTGTGTAATATAACTTCGGTTACCCATCGAGAAGTTGAATTGCAATATTATTGTTAGTTATCGGTTACTAAGATGGAAATGTGGAGTAGAGTAGATAAACAAATAATCGCTGGTAGACATGTGCATAAAGAGACAAGTCTGTCTACTACTGCGTGTGATAAGGCAACGTGTGAAAAGGCGAAGAAGAAGTGATAAGAGATATGGCATTCGACCAAAGGCCGTTGGTCAAAGAATGGTTCTTTTCTTTATCACACACAAGTCAAATGGGTTATCCCAAAATCTTCTTTTGCGTTGCAACTACTTAGTCAGTTTGACTGGAATAATTTGGTGATTTTTTTTTTATTTATCCAAGGAAGAGGGGACCCTATAGACGTTTTATCTGTCGATTGCGAAACAACCTTGAGTTTACACATTTTATTCGCTGACATTGTATGCTGCATTCATTTCAATGCATTCTTTAAACAGCGTGTTGTGCTATTCACACCGTGCGCTAATCATTTTCGTCAAGAACTGTGATAGAAGACTAACTATACGGGAAAAAAAAATAGGAACAATAGGATGTGTTGAATTTTTTTTTTAAATGAAGCAAATTATTATTATTGTTGTTGTTGATTAAACGATATCCGGATAAGCGTGCAACGAAAACGCATCAGTGATTATTATTATATTTTCAAAGCGTGCACCGAAACGAATATTGTTGTTTTCAGTTACACCGGTTATCGGTGGTTTTGTATTTGTAAGATAATAATAGTTTTTGTCCGTATAAACAAACGTCTTGAAAAAAATGATACATGTATTTTATTATCATATCCTCCAATGTAATAATTTAGTGCAAGACCAGTATAAAATTACTCTTCGGCCGCATATGCCTATTTTAATTACTGTTGTCGTGTACTGCCGTTAGCATAGTGCCTCTCTAGGTTAAGTTAAATGATACTTAAGTATATAGACAGAGGTTGGTCAATGTTTCATGCGGGTAGAGGGGGCTAAACATTTTTGTAAGACAAATCCTCTCTTTCATGTAAGCCTACAGTGTACAACAAGTCTAGGAATATTCCTTTGTCATTATTGCCATACAACTTGTGTTGATTCTTATTTTGTGTCTAAATCAACAGCTCTACTCAACGTTTATCACCGATCTACATGTCGGTTGTATTATTCCATAGAAAATTATAATGATAATAATGTGTTTTAAGCTAAGACAAATATCTATCTTCTCATTTTTAGTGTGTAGCATTTTGTTTTTTGACCAGAAAATTTGAAATAATATTATTGGATATTGTTTATTTTGTGTTTTTTTTTTTAAATATTTAAACTATTTCCTGGCATGGAACGTTGTACATACTTAATTGGGTACTATTAAATTAAAACTTATGACTAAACCAAAAATAACAGATCACAATATAAATTATTTAACAGGTGTTATGCACACTATGTAGAAACAGTTTTATTTAAGTGTGACGCAAAGACAATATTGTTATTTTTAAAACAACAAAGCGATAAATGTTTTTAAAAAAAAAATAAACATCAGCCATCGCATCGAAGCTAAAAGTCTGGATTTTCTCCATCAGGCTTAAATTTCTAGGTCGCTGATTCGGCATTATTTTTCCATTTTACCTCTTACTTAAAGGATGGTTGGTGTTAGTAGGGCTGAAGGGTTGCAATTTCCACCACCTAACCTACCTAACCTACCACCTAACCTAACCTAACCGACGGTTATTGTGCTAAAAAATCGTTATGTGGTAGATTTCATATAGAATAGATAATGTTTTGTATAAAGTGTAGAAGACTATTACTATTGATACAAAGTATGTACTTTTTTTATCGCTCCGTCCATTAAATAAGAAAGGCTTAGATAACTGTAGTAACATGTTTGTGAAAACTACAATCAATCTTTTTGGTTTTAAACAAAACTATAATTCGTCTATTGTATTATTTTTCCACCAATGTTAGCATATAGATCATTTATA